CCCCTCTGCCACCCTCCCAGCAGGATATGGACTGAAACCTCTGCAAACTAAGCCACAGTAAACTTCTTCTTGCTTAAATTGGTGTTGGGTATTGTGTTTCAGTGATGAGAAAGTGATGAAGACAGAAGTGTACAGAAGGGATGAGTACGTTATGATGATTATAACACAGAATAGTCTGTTTTATAAAAGCAATTAGAATGTGGAGACACTTTTCCATGGGAAATTATGATTATTTGAGCTCAACTTGAGAGCTTAAGCACATATAAGAACCATGGATTACAAAAAACAAAAGAAAATTCTTATACAAAAAAACAGATAATAGCACAAAACTTTCTTTTCAATAAACTAAAAGGACCTAGTGGTATAAATGAAACAACTTAGCATATATATTGAAATATTTTTGAAACCACAGAATATATAATTTGGGGATTAGAACTTCTCCCTTTTTGGAAGAGTCTTTTATCTATGATTTGTACTCTAACGTTTTGGTCATTCTTTTAATATTATGGTATAGTGTATTAACTAATGTTATTCTTTTTTTTTTTTTTGGTAGAGGATCGAACTCGGGACCTTGCACTTGCAAGGCAGGCACTGAAACCACTGAGCTAAATCCCCAGCCCTAACTAATGTTATTCTTTAGTTATGAAATTTTCCTTTATTTTTTCATAGAAGACTTTCTAAAAAAATATTTTATTAATATCTACTTGTATTACATTGAAATAAGGTTTTTTAAAAAACATGGATTACTGTGTATTTGTATCAGGAGGCTATCCTGGTATTTGATAGTTGATACAACATTGATTCAATCATAGAAAATGAATGAATGAACTCATCTTCAAATATGTAGATGATACTAGGACCTACTTCACAGGATTACTGTGATGACTAAATGCTTTATTTTAGTTAAAGCACTTAGAAAACTGCCCATTAAAAGTAAGTAGTATATAATTACTAGCTATTACTGTTAGGGTGAAAAATTGAAACTCCTCTCCTATTGCTTGCAATATCTTACAAGATGGAGCAATGATGCAATTTCTGGGGAGACTGGTGTAATTATTGAAACTGACAAATGAAAACAACAGGAAGAGTCAATAGTACAGGACAGGAAGGGGAACTAAGAGGGTACTGAGGAAAGCAACAGGGAGATGCCACCTGGGGAGAAATGTGGGTTCAGCAGCTGGATGGAAATGCCTTAGGAGACAGATATCTAACCAAGAGGTAACTTCTTAGAACTTCAAAGTGAAACATTAACACTTTTGATTTAAAAAGTATATTGCCATCTAGCAAAACAGGGACACTGAAACTCTTCAAATATGCTGACACTGATTAGTTTCACATTTTGACAGATCCTAATTCCAACTGTTACTTCTGCAATGCTCAATATGCAGATGGAATAGTATCATTTTACTGGGTATCTGTGACCTGGGAAACTACCAGGAAAAAAAAAATCCTAGGGAGTTAATCTAACTAATGTTATTACGTATAAACTCTATTAGTCATAAAATCAATGCTTGACTCTTTATAATCTTTCAAGTAAATTTTCTGATTTTGTTTTACCTAACCTGATTTTAAAATGTTTGCTGTCTCTCCTGAATACACAGGGAGGCCTGTACTCTTTAGGCAAGAAGAAGCTGACTGAGTAAAAGTTAATGATATCTCCTATTGTGCTGTGTCATCAAAAAAGCCCATCCATTATTGGGTACACAGTTTAAGGAAGGATTCCTAACTTTTAGTTCAATGAATGTTTTCAGACGAAAATGATAAAATTATGATATTTCCTGTATGCTAAGGTCACTATGATTTCTTGAGATCAGTATCCTTTTGCTGCTTCCAGGCTGCCACGAAGAGTAGGACTTTAGGGCCAGGGATTTAGCTCAGTGGTTCCACTGCCTGTCTCGCAAGCACAAAGTCCAGAGTTCGATCCCTGGTACCAAAAAAAAAAAAGAGTAGGGCTTTAACAAAAACGAAGCATAATAGATGCAGAACATTACATTATCATTGGGCCTTTGTTTTTGGCGATCACTGTGGTGACTCAGTAAATATCAAGCTAATAAGTGAAATTGACACTTCCATGCCTAGGTACCAAACTGCTAAAATCTATTTGTGATAAATGTTCATTTCAATAAATATTATTAGCACCTACTATGTGCCAAGAGAGATGAGAGGCTCAGTGTTGTCAGCAAATACGTACTGGAAACTAAAACAATATGATCAAATGGTGCATTTATTCTAAGATAAAAGCATTAAGTAAACACATACACATATACAGCCATGAATAGGGGCAAGGGAGAGCAGGGAAAAGGTTTCTAAAGGGGGATGTTTCCTGAAGCAAGCCTTGAAAAATGATTAGAAGTTTTACAAATAAAGAAGAAAACCAATTGAAAGAAACAGTTGGGGTGAAAAGGAGTGAAAGAGCACAGCACATTCTGGTGGCTTGTGGTCTGGTGCACCTAGAACGTGGGTAAGTGAGGGGGCTGGGAAGAGGACGGGAGGGCTAAAGCAGAAGGAAGTGACAAGAAATGGGGTTGGGGAAGTGGGTTAAAGCAAGTTTGTGAAGGTACAAAATACTGTGGTACAATTGTACATTAACTAAAAGAAAATACTTTATTCCATTAGTACACAAAATCCGCAATGATATCTATAAAAAATAAAACTGCAAATTTCTTTCTTCCCTTTCTCTCACTCTCTTTTTTGTCTTCCTCTTTCTGTCTCTCATTCTCTCTTTCAAAACGGTGAGTGCAAGATGGCTTTGGTCAGCTTCAGTCATGAAAGTCTGTCTGCAGTCTTCTCCACTGGGGGCAAGGCTCTGGCAAGGCACTGGCTGCCTGGGTGGAGGTTCTGGCGATGGACACTTTCAGCCCAGGACCTCAAATCCTGGCCATCGTCTGCCCCACCCTGACTGCCAACTGCTTATGACCTTGGGTCAGCCCCTCCAAATCCTAAACTCACACCTGTCCTGAAAAGGTAGTTGAGAGGATGAGGTCCTGCATGAAGAGGGGCTGCACATCCTGAGTACTTAGGATCCAGTGTTATTAATTTAGCCAGCCCTCCATATACCAGCGTCTGCATCCATAGATTCAATCTACTTTAGATAAAAATTCTTCTGAAAAAATATTGTATCTGTACTGATACAATATAGCTATTTACACAGCATTCACATTGTATTAAGTAATCTAGAGATGATTTAAATTGTACAGAAAGATGTGTGCAGGTTACATGCAAATAGTGTGCCATTTTAGATAAGGGATTTGAGCACCTGCAGATTTTGGTATCCACAGAGGTCCTTTTCTCGTCCTAATTTAAATTTATACATCTAAATGAGATTAATTTCTTGACCTTCCCTCTCCAAAAGTTTCAGAGGTGGAATTATAAATAAAATTAAAACACTGAAATTATTTCCTTCATTGCTGATTGTTTCAAGGCATAATTTACAAAGGAGATAAAAATGTAAATGCTACAAAGAGAAGCATCCCTGTGATTGCTAACGAAATGTCCTCCTGAGCACCAGTCTGTTCCACCACACCAGTGCCTCTTCAAAGGATTAGACCCAGAAAAATTCTCCTGACAGGATTAGGGGTGAATGGGAATAGAGAGGACTGGATACATTATTACCTACCAGGTGGGTGCTTTAGCAATCTAAATTTGACTTAAATTAATTTTACTCTTTTCTAAAAGTAAGTAAATACATTTTTCACATCCTAATTTATTTCATTTTCATTATTATTTTTTACTGAAATAAAACAGCATATTTTTTAGTCTTGTCTAGGGTTAACCTTCCTTCCTTCCTTCTCTTCCTTCCTAGATCCCACATTTTTGCTAGTTTAAAATTATTCAGGTAAGAAATATAGAACAATATTGATGGTCACATTTTGTAACTTCCACAAATTCACATTATTGGATAAAATGCTAATTCCATTCAAACATGCTTGTATGTTCAAATGTGTCTTTAAATAATTTTACCTAACAAAAACCAATTATAATTCATTATAAATTTGAATCAAGATGTGTATTGATGAGTTGACTTTATTGCTTACTGAGACTTTTTCAAAAAGTTGTCCTGAGGACTAATTTAGAAAACAAATTGATTAAGAAACATTGGGTTTCGATAAGATGTTGCTTAAGGTATACATTTCCAGTCTGAATACCTTTTATATTTATCATCTGTCAATGGTTCTTATTATTTTTTATAGTAATAATAAAATAAAAGTTGATACTACAAGATTCAAAGTCTCGCTGTTTCAGCAAATTTCTAGAATATCCCATATCAACTTTATAAAAATTTCTATTCTAGACATAAGGCTTTCTTCCAGAATTTAACTGAGTATTCATTTATATAGCCATAAGTATTACCAAATAATTCAGATAATCCTACAAAAACAGTACAATTGAGCAATCCAAATTGCTTTTATTTTTAAAGAATAAATGGAGAAGAGGAGACTTCTAATTTTGTGTGGTTATTAAGCACACCCATTAAAAACTCTTGGTGCCAAATCAAATAATCAGTATCACATTCGATAATATAAGGCCTGAGATGTTAATACAGCCACTAAAAAAAAGTTTCAGAAAAACAGAACCACAGCAGCCAAAATTAAACCACCCCCATTATGCCAATGAGTAGTACCGTCTAAATGATCAATATGCACTTTCCTGAAAACATTTTAAAGCAGATAAAATCCCAGTAAACAGCCTTCCTGAAGTAAAGCAATAGACTTAAATCAGAATATAATTTTGTTTAAAAAAGGGGCGGGGGAATCCCATAGTTTTGGGCAAGTGATAACTGATTAATTTGAGGAGAACCCAACCCAAGCAGCCCAGGTTCCCCATCTAGGGCGTTTACACAAGGGGGCGGCACATTTCCTGGTCCTCAGAGGAGCTAGGGGTTCAGGTGACAGGTACTCCCAGTTCCAGGCCGTTGAAAGTAAGATTCACAATCCACAGAAACAGAGGCAAACACCATCACGAGCATTTAGAAAAGTCAAAAAGATATGAAGAAAATTTACCTTGTAGAAACCGTCCTTGGTTGAACTGGTGTGCGACCAGAAACCTCCTCTTTTCTGATTTGCAGAACAGCTTTGTCAAGCCCAAGTGTGTGGTCACAAGGCAGGAAGTGACTAGAATGACAAATCATCAGCCAGGAAAGAAATAGATTTTGTCTTTATAAGGACATTTTACTTAACTTTGTTTTCTCATGTCCCCTCCTCCCCAAAAAATCACCTGACAGAATAGGTCACACTGGAATTCAGATGTCTCTTACCACTTCCTCTTAAGCATTTTTCTACCTCCTCTCCTGCCTTTCTCTTACAGCTGACTCTAAGTAGGCCCTGGGCTACTTAAACCTTTCTGATCTCAGATAGCAAGGGAAGGTCAGCCTGCTATCTTGACTTTTTTGTCTGACTCTCATTGCAAAAGCAAAGCCCTGGTGCTTACCTACTTACAGCACAGATAAGCAGTTATTCATTTTTAGTGAAAAAGCCAAGAAAAAGGTAACTGTATACTTGAGACAAATCAAAAGGGACTTCCTTGGGAGAGCCCCAGTCCATCCTAAACCAAACTCCTCAAGTCCTCTAACCATGGTCCTAATGGTGCAAACAAAACAAAATGATCTCTTTAAGACAGGGCCCTGAAAACGAAGGTTACTATATTATTTACTCATTCTTTTATTTATAGCATGCCTATATGCTAAGGATCTCTTTAACCCAATTAAAGATTTCAATTATTTAGATGTTTCCTATAAACAACAGCAGGAGATCACACTAGCAGCTCTGCTGTTATTACGTAGATACCTTAATTCCTTCACACAGACCAGATTTTTTTGAATGCACATTTTATAAAATTAGCATGGGAGGAGAGGAGCTCCATTCCATATCCAAAGCCCAGATAATTATCTTGAGAGCAAATTTCTACCTTTAAACAGAAAATCCTCAAGTGGTCACAATGCTATGAAGACTGTGTGGCTTCTTGAGTTATGTTCATTGAGTATTAAGCATAGTCTATACAATGCTGGAAATGGTATGCTTCCAGTAGTAACTCTGCCATTTAGCAATGAGTGTATGATGTATGGCTGGGCTCCCAGCTCAGATGGGGTGAGTTGAGGACTCTCTATAGGCAACCACATTTGTTGGGGGTCATGGTGTCAAGAGGCAGCAGTATTTGCTGGGGGGCTGCCCTTACACTTCCTTTGCTTCTTTTATTTCTCCTCTAGAAAGCTCCTGCTTTAGACCTCAAATGTTAAACTGTTGTGGTTTAGCCATTGGCATGGTGACTTTTCAACAGAAGCAATAGGGTCCATCTGGAGAAGAGGGTCATCAGAGAATGGAAAGACATGGAAGACGTGAAAGACATTCAGGCTATAAATAGTTCTAGACAGAGAGCAAAGAATTGTCAATCCCCAGGGAAGACTGAGGAGATGAATGGGTTTCTCCATTCAATGATTACTCCCAATTAATATGTTGCAGAGAGGGTTTAGGAAGGACCTAAATTCTTTTCAGGATATCAGGATGTCATGCAACATTCTATGGGACTAATTGCAATACGAAATATCAAAATGCTAGTGGTTTGCAGTCTGGTGGAAACAGCTCCCATTCAGGTCCCTGAGGAGGAACTCATAGATGGTTCCCCGACAGTCTTAAGGGTGAAATGTGTGTTACTGGACTTCTCTCATCTGGCCCCACATCCTTGTAGTTTCAGGATGAAATGAAGGTCCAAGCCATACTTCATAAAGGGGAACAGCATTTCATTTACCTGGCAGAAGGAAAGCAGCAGCATTCTGTATCTACTTGTACCTGGTCATGTGAGACTCAGATCTATAAAAAAAATTAAGACATATTTGTGCATGGGTTCCACAAGTGTGTGACTGCCTGTCAGAATTGGTGATGGACAGAGAAGTGAGACACAGTCACTGATCTCAGGGAGCACAATGTCCAATGGGGAGACAAATATGTAAGTAAATAAATGCCACGTATAATAGAGGGTTGGGACGGGTAGAAATGTGAGCACAGGTAGTATGTGAAGACAGTGAAACATGCATAGTCATGACTAGCAACTGGTTCAAGTAAAAGAAAAGGATTCAGGATTGCAGAGGATGTCTAGACTGTAGGAGCTGAAAGCCACTGAGTTGCATGCTCCGTATCACCTCCCAATTGGCAGGGTCTTTTTCTACTCTAGCACCAGCTCAGCTCTGACTCCACATCACCCACACATCACCCCACGAACCACATCCGGACTTCACCATTTCAAGCGCCGCCTTGCTCTCTCAATCTTACTCTTCATCTGCCTCACAGTTGGTGTAAAGCCCAGGTGCAGACAATAGTTTAAATCTTAGACCCTGATCTCTTCAGAAAGGAATATTTTATCCTTGTCCATGGTTAAAATTGCTTGTGCATCAGGATCACAGAAAGAAGATTGACTTTTGATTTTATTTTTGCATTTAGGTTCTCTACAGACAATGCACCCCTTTACAGCCTGCACTCAGAGCGGACCTCACTGCACCCTACTCCTGAGATGTCTCTGCTGCCACCTCTCCAACTTCTTCACAGTCCCCTTCTCTGCCTTCCCAGTAGTCCCCTGTTCTCCTACATCTTTACTCCCACGCCTGCTCTGATGGCTCCTACCTCAGTCTCTAAAACCATATCACTGGCTACTCTCTGCCTTGGAATGCTGCTGAGGCAATCACAGAAACACAGACTTGGCATGTTGCATATTTGAGCTGCTTGACTTCAAATTACTTCTCAGAAATACTTTTATTCAATTTCAGTAATTCCTGGGAGTTGGTATTCCCAACCCGGGGGCCACAGACTCCTAAAATTACATGCAAAATGTTGTATACACGTACTTTTTTCTAGGAAAAAGATCCATCATATTATTAATATTATTAAAGAAACTGGACCTGAAAAATCTGAGAATCTATTCTAAAATCTCTCCTTTTGGCTCAACCTCTCAATCCATCCTCCTGTAAACTTCCCCCTGCTACAGGGTTCCTCTGCTACCCCTTAACTATTGCAATAGTCCAAGTCCTCTGGTGTGAGCATCGTTTTCTGTCCCTCTTTACACTCCACTTCCTCTCCTCTCTTAAAATAAGAGAGGCTGCTCTGTCCCAAGTAGTTCCTCCTTGCAGTCTTACTTTTATCTTGTATTTCCTAAGGGACCATCAATGATCTCATGTTTTCTAGCACCCTTAATCTCTTATACTCTCTCCCCACTTCCTCTGCTCACATGGGATTTGTACGAAGGGAAAACTTTTGCTTCATGGTACTATCTGTAACATTTGACAGGCAGGGAATGAAGACAACTGAGATAGGCAGAGTCCCTAGCTTTGTAGTATGTCCACTATAGTTGAGACCACAGGTGTGTAAAAAGACGAGGAAAATGTAGCCTGCCTGAAACCATGACAGATGAAGAGCACAACGCATGTGGGAACACACAGTACTAACCCAGGCATGGGGCCATAGGCAGGCCAAGCGAGCAGTGTGTGATGCCGGGTAAGGGTGTTGGGCTAGCCACCTTGGGCAGACTACTCAATATCACTGGCCTCAGGGTCCTCATCTAGAATGGATAAGAATAGGGTGTCTTATATAGTTGTTGTGAAAGTTAAGCCAATTGATGTATGCAGACAGCTTAGTGCTTGCCAGATATCTTTTAATATTTATACCAGGCTTTGGACTAGACCCTTCATATACATTATTTCATTCATTCCTCACAATAGCCCTATGAATTAGATATTTTTGTTTTTCATTTTTAAATAATAGCTTCATTAAAATATGATTCACATCATAAAAGTCACCCTTTGAAAGTGTACCATCCAGTGGTGTCTAGCAGTATTAACAGAGTTGGGCAACCATTTCACTATATGATTTCAGAACACTTTCATTATCCCCAAAACAAACCTTGCACTCATTAGCAATTATTCCCTCTTTACTCCCATGTTCCAAATCCCTAGCCTGTTTTCCACTAGTTTTTTTTCTGTATATAGATTTGCCTATTCTGGGCATTTCATCTAAATGGAATCAAATAGTCCATAGTCCTTTGTGGCTAGTCTCTCACTCTGTGTTTTCAGGGCCCATCCGTGTTGTAGCAGGTGTCCATATTCTATTCCTTTTCGTAGAGGAATGATATTCTCCACTGTGAGAATACACCTCATTTTACTATCTGTTCATCAGTTTATGGCCATTTGGATGGCTTCTACTTTTCAGATAGTATGAATAACACTGCTATAAACATTTGTGTACCCATTTTTCAATAGATTATAGGTATTGATTTTTTAGTCAAAATAATACATGTACAAAGTTTTAGAAGTCAAACACTATGCCAAGGCTCATTATAAAACAATAATCTCCTGATTATACATGTTTTCTTCACCTGATTCCTCAGAGACAACTTTCTGCTACTCAGCTTGGTATTTCAAGATGTTGTTCCTATACTATGTCTTGACTGTTAAGATATATACACCTAATATTTAAGTGTTATTCATATATATTATTTGCATGTTATAAATTTTATATTTCTACTCTGGGAGATAAAGATTTGACCCTTACTCATCTATTTGACCCTTACTCATCTATCAACATGTACACCAAAACCTCCCATCATCTTCTAAAAGAGTTTATAATACCTTTTAAATTAAATCCATATTCCATTTTTACAATGATTATAAAAAAATCAAAATCAAGGTATTTATTGCATTTTACTTTTGTACCTTTTTTCATTTTATAGGTTCCTATGTCCTAATCCTAGTGCTAATACTGTGCTAAACTCTCAAACAGAACTAAAATACAATAAAAACACCAAGGAATGGGTCCATTCCTATTTTCCCCCTTGGAGAGGACCCTGCTGGAGTCTTTTGTCCTCCTATCTGGCTGCACGGCCCAGCTGTCATTCATCCAGAATGTCCCTTTGTCATCATCCTGGGAAGCCCCTGGGACTCCCCCCCCCCCCCAGCTTGTTTCTGGACTACACACCTTCCACTTTCTTGGTCTACTTCCTTAAAGAGCACATCCTCTACTACATTCCTGTGAATGGATGGGACATAAATTTCTTGATAAATTTTATACTTGACAACATATATATTCTTCTCTCATTCTTGGAAGTCCATACTGGATGTCATTTTCCCTCAGAATTCTGAAGGAATGGATCCAGAGTGTTGTACGCTGTCCAGTGTTGCTGTTGAGAATTCTGATGCCATTTGGATACCTCTTTATGGCTGGTGTTCACGTGATAGGTCTTCACATGATTCTGTTTTCATCCACTGTGCTGGGTACTCAGTGGTGTCTTTCCATTGTGGAAATTCAAATCTTCCATTCTGGGAAGTTTTCTTCCATCTCCTTTTCCCTCTCTTCTCTCTCCCCCCTCTCCTCTCCCTTTTCCTTCCCCCTTTCTTTCTGTCTCTGTCTGTCTCATTTCTATGATTTCTATGTTCTCTTTCCCTAGCATTATGCCTATTTGCATATTGTATCTCTTGGGTTGATATTCTAATTTTATT